TTTTGCTGTAATAACAGCAAAAATTGTGTTATAATCATCTAAAAGTAATCTAGCTGATCAAAGTTTCAAACACTTAAATGGTTTATATAGATTAAAATTAAAAAGCAACCACAGCTTATTTAAAGATACATCAGCCCACTTTAAATTTGAATGTGTTCCTGGATGTATAAAGCTAAGGAATATGGATATTGGATATGGTATTATTATGATAGTAGATAACCTAGATAGGCCCTGAAATAAAACATTTTAAACGGTTTCCATCGCGAATCTATATTTGTATTTTATTTCGTTTTAAACGTAAAAAGTGTTTTATCATCTCGATAACAAAAAAATAGGTACTTATAGTAGGGACCCCAATGTTTTCCTTATTAGATAGTTTGCGTTTAAATATCTAGAGATTTATTTTCAGTATAAATATTATTTGAAAATTGTACTAACAACAAAGAATTTGAATTTTCGAAATACCCAATCCGAATTAACCTAGTGTTTTCTCCATATTTCACAGGCAAAAAAAAAAGATTTTTTAAATCCTAGCTCAAATGTCAAGGTAAATAGAGCTCCACCAAAAAAGCTGCAAAATAGCTTATCCATTGAACGCTTCGTTTCGTAGACAAGAACCATCATTACCTCTTAGCAGAACTAATGCCGCGTCTTATCGTAATTTGAATCGACATTTAGATGAGTTCTGTATGACAAACTTGTGTTTTTCGGTGCGGTTATTAATTTTTATGGTTCTGTTGCTGTTCTGTCAAACTTACTTAATGATCTTATTTAACGAACGGTGCAAATCGATAAGCGATTTTTAAACAAAGAATGTATTTAACAGTAAACATTTAACTTTAAAATGCGCTTTTGACTTCCTCGTTGATCTAATGGTAATTATGTATGTCTAAGTACATCTATAGTTTACGCGAGTAGTACACATTTAAATAAAACACTTTAAAAACGGGTTTAAGGGTTGGGTTAGTTAAACTTAGATGTTAATATTTTTCGAAAAATGTTAGATTTCATCTGAAAATTTGCAATATCTATTAGCGTATAATCTCTAGTTAATCTCTATTAGGAAATGATTTTTTCCTTCGGCCCGACGTTTCGGATGCCATCGAAGCACCAGCAGAGCCTCCCCCTCCACAGCATGGAACGTGCTGAAGTTTAAAAATTCGCATACCGATTTCAATCTGTGATTTTCGAAAATCGTTAAAGTGTTTTTCTAAATTTAGATTCACTGAGAGCGCATTTGGATATCTATTACGTTAAATAGGTATTTTGAACTACCTATTAGGAGACCACCGTGTTTATTTGCTCCTGCAAAAAAGAATAATAGGGTCGTTAGATGTATTTGTAATAAGAAGAAGAAGTGTATAATAAGTTTATATATTTCAAAGCTATAGAATATCGCACCACAACATATCCATTTATTTCACTATACGTTGTATTATATACGTTCCAGTGTTAACTAAACAATAAACTTCATAATATCAGCTTTAGTACATACTATCCAACAAACCAGGCTGATAACCAGAGGCGATTAATTAAGACCCCAATAAATATAACAGTAATTACTAACTTATCTAGCAGGCCCGTGTACTGTTACCATAACTGCGATTTGCATACGATCCGACGATTCAATAACTTGGAATTATCGTACAATTAATTCCAGCACTTGTCTTATCAGGAGTCATCTGGGACCATATAGCCGGGTCATCGACGCATTCAGCTTAAATCTATTGTTCAAACTTCGGAGCTAACTACCTATAAAAGTCACGGTTGCTTCCATATTGGCATATTGCAAACCTTACATGGTTCGAACCTAATGACCTACGACATTTCAACTATTCGCTCCGTCTCGCTCCGACCGCTGAAGCGCGAGAGGGACGGAAGATCGACGGAATACAATATTGGTGTTTTATTCGATTTGTAAGTGGCTAGAATTCAGTGTTTGCTGTAGTTTCTCATATTGTTTCTTTAGTAGCGCTTCGTGGAGTTTGGAGGGAAAGGTTTGAAGTTATTAAACTCGTCGTTTTTGTTGGGTTTCATTGAGAGGTCGCGTCATCGGATCTCGTAGGAATTTTGTTGAATTATAAACAAGATTTTTTTACTTTTTTATGTGTTAAATTTAAAATTGCGCTGTTTTTTTTATTTATTAACCGTCTTGACCAAAACAGAATCCCTTTAATTCTCTTGGAAGTGCGCACTATGTAACTATTTCTTTATACCTCATAGATTAATTATCTAAAACTAATCTACCTATATTTTGAGCAAAACATGATAAAATCTCATCAATATATGATTAGTGTTATAAGTAGTTTTAGAACGAACTAAAATATATCTATGGAGGTAAAAGAAAATTGTATTTAAATCATGATTAATCAATAACTAGACCACTAATCAGCGTAAAGCTTTTAAACGTTTCAGGCGTTTTAACAAATAATTTCAAAAATTATACACTAAAATGTGTTCAATCACCGAGCCAAAGTGGACGTAATCGGCTCAAATGGGGCCCTTTGGACCAAAATTATTGACCCGTTGAAAACCATAATTTGTATTACTTAGTGCGCTTGCGCAACATTATAACATATCGCCCAGAGTTAAGGAGCATAACTGCGCGAATGTATTTAAGTGACCTATGACTGTAAAGCCTTATAACGTGGTAATATGATTAGGGATTACATTGTTGTCAATCGACATTTCATACAGGAATGTACTTGGTTAAAGTTTATTAAACAAGTAAACGTTATTGTATTAACTATTTATGACTTCATTAGCTATAATTTCATTTTGGAAAAATCATGTTAAAGTATAAAAATGTTAAACATTATAAAGAACTATGTAGATACATTTTAAGGTATGACTATATACGTAATCATAAACATAAGTTCATGTATTTTTAATTATCTAGAACGGAAGCAAAATACCAACAAGAACAATGAGTAAAAACCAATCCAACTTTTATAATATGTATTCAGTTTGCTTAGCACTATAGTAACTAGTCATAAATTTCAAAGGACAAAGACATAAACAATAATTTAAGTAAGTAACTACCTGAAATAGAAACCACTTCTTTTACAGCATTAATGCATATCACATACTAGCTGTGTCAGCGACTTCGTCCGCGAGAATCGTTATGTCGGGCATCCAAATTCGTTTTTGCAAACCTCTTCATCTTTATAAACTTAAGCTATTACCCACCTGCCCGTCGTAAGTACAAGTTAATCTTAAATCATCGTCATGAACTTTTTTTCATCATCTAAAAAGGTCATTCGTTCATTCAAAAGGAGGTCAAAGATAATTTAAAAAGGAATCATTATTTCATACATATTTTTTTAGTATCTTGAACCGTTTTTGCAGCGCACACCTCGGAAACCCATAATGATCAACACATTTCTCGCTGTATGTTCGCGTGTATTAGTCACAGGGCGATGTTTTATAGCCTATAGCCTACATACGATAAATGGTCTAACCCACATAAATATATTTTTTCAATTCGAACCCGTAGTTCCTGAGATTACCACGTCCAAACATACAAACAAACAAACTCTTCAGCTTTATATATTAGTATGGATATAAGAAGATTTTCTCAGTGGAATTTGGTTCTCTAAGGGGACACTATATAACATAAATAAAAATATTTTTAACGATCTTTTTCCTCATACTACATTATATATATAGGTATATAGACATCAAATAGTCCTATGTGTTTATCATTTAGTAAGTGTTACTCAATGTGTTTATATATTATATTAAACTAGATCTGAAATATTGTATTTAAGTAATTGAATATTTGCGTAATAATTTATCCCAATTATGGTGTCTCTAGTTTGATTAGGAATTAGCAAGATATAGCGATCGTAAACTAGAAGATACTTAAGTATCTTACCGTGGACTAAAGTTGTAATTCACAAGCAAAACAAGATAAGCATAAAAGCTAATGTACCATAGTTTAGATAGTATGATACATAGATTTGATTAAAAGCACTTTTAATAAAATTGGTCGTGAAATAGACAAAGAAATGTCTCGGCTTCCATGTGTCACGAAGAATCGAACCGAAATGAAGCTTATAAGAAATAAATAATTATAAATACTTACTTACTGTTTGACGAATGCTTTGCTATAAATTTCCAACACCCATTAGTTCTAATATAGACGTATGCGTCAACGTACAAAATTTTCGAACCAATCTGTTAGATACTAAAGATTAGTAAGTTAGTATTATAGACATATAAATATAGTATTAATATGAATACCTACATAGTTATGATTTGTGAATACATAAAAGGAATTGTTAGCACTTGACATGTTGGTAGTCAAATACCTGACTCTGCCCCTCCCATTGCCTTTTAAGTAATTTTTTGTACGGTTGCTGATTGGTGTCGGGATAATTACTGTGTAAGTGGAGTTATTCGCATGCCATATAAGGTAATACATGCGTTCTTGGGAATTAGCGCTTCCCTTATATGGACAATGTGATACGCCTACAGTGTCTTTGCAGATATGACGTTTGAGTTAAATTTGTAACTTTTATTGTTCTAATCATTTATTATACCTCATTTTCGAAACGTATGTCAAGATTTATTTTCTGCGCATGTAAAGTTGGCAGTTATATGTCTCTATACCTATGTTCATTGATCGTAGTTTTATATTTTTTTTAATCCTTGGCGACCAGACATTGATGACGTGTCATGAAACTCATGATTCGCGGGAATTCGAACCTAAGACCTCTCGATATTTAGACATAATAATTTGGTTTAAAATGTTGATCAGTAATTGACATGCCATCATGTGCATAACACGTGAAAAATAAATAAAGTGTTCGAAGTGTGTTACTGAGCTACAGCGGTAAGTTGAATAGCACAGATTATAATAGGCAATTTCGGTCCAGGTGTCGCGGCGCTGGCGTGGGTCCGCCGATGCGTGGGCGTCTCGTTAATAATGAAAACAACGGGCGCGCCCGGGGACGCCACAGCGAGCGTGCCACTTTCGCACTCATCGGCCAGCCATCATGTTTACAAGGTATCGTCTTCCATTTGACAGCTAGCGACAGACTATAATATAGCGAGGAACTTTTGTTTCTTATTATATTCTGCCATAAATCTATAGATACACCATAGATTATAGAAAATACGCATATTAAAATTAACTATTTGTCAGAGATTTAAATAGTTTGACATTAGTGTGTCTTAAGCCGTTGTAATATAATTGAATAACAGATGTGTCTAATCTAAAAGATTAAAATATATTATACAAAAGGCGAAAATATATATTTTTATATTGAGACGAGGACAGACATGGGGTTCGCTTGATAGATGAAATATGTCAACCTTATAATATCTAAACGAGAGACGCTGTCAATCTATTTTGGCTTTGGATACTAGGAAATCTACAGACTGAAAACGAAACCTGAACCACCTTGACAGCCTTTTCGAGTGTGGATTGTTTGTGACCCCGATTACGATATTCCTACCACCCAATTAATATCTAGATTTCCAGACGAAGTCCAACATGTTTCTAAAAAATTATAAATTGATTATAAAAATGTTGGCTCCGGAGGGAAACGAACCACGTCCTTGATTATTAGCTAAACCTTGCTACCATTACACCATACCATGATTTTAAATCTTAGATAGTTTAAATAAAACAATTTAACGGTTTAAAACGCGATATATTAGTTAAACTCATTTGAAAGTGATTTTTAACTTCGGCCTGACGTTTCGGATGCTTTGCAGTAGCCATGGTCACGGGGAGACTAAAGATGGAGGATGTCTCTGACGTCAAAGTAAAAAATTGCTACGCTAGCGCCATCTGTTCCGTTCCGAAGATCGTAGTTGGCAAAACTGGCCGGGTCCTTACAGAATTGATTAACGGTGTCTTGGCGTTTGCCGATATGCTGTTTATTGGGATCCAGAGTTTTTCCAATAAACAGCATATCGCGTTTTAAACCGTTAAAGTGTTTTATTTAAATGTGAACTACTCTTAGATAGTTCATAATTATGGTTTGCTAAAATAGTTTAAATATATCTTTTATGAAGCATATTTGAAAAGAGTTTGAGAAGTCCGTTATAACGAGAAGGTAGTCTATTCAATTGGAGCTATATTTCATGTGATCAAGGTACATTTAGCACCGTTGGTCATCGAACTAATAAATTAAAACAATACCTCGCCAAGTCGTGACGAGTAGACTTGTAACTTTGATGCGTAAAATGTGATTTTCGTGACAAAAAGTTCTGTTTCGAACCGTTAGAGCGTCCAGAAATTTATCAATTAGCATAATATGACGTCATCATGACGTTACTACTAGCTAAAGCAAAAATATAACATGACGAAATATAAAGAAATAAAGAAAAATCAAGTAGTCTAAGGCGATATGTGTTAGTGAACTAGAGACTGTCTCCCCATGACCACGGCTGCTGCCAATTCGAAACGTCGGGCCGTACTTATAATAATTTTCAAACAAGTTTAACTAATTTATGTCGCGTTTTAAACCGTTAAGGTGTTTTATTTAAATCAAGTAGTTCAACTTATATGTTTGATTTTATATGTACATATTGTTTAACAAGAATTATAATTATTTACTAGATATGTGCCAGTATGAATGACCAACATTCAGATATATATTTTTTATAACTAATCTACCGCATGGTGTGGTTTGATTTATTGTTGTCAATGTTTTTAAAGTAATGCAATTTAAAATTGAATTGTCCCGAATTCTATAAAACTCTTAACAAAGCAAGATTGAAGGTTATCTTAATGAGGTTTTTAAAATTGCCTTTATCTTCAACTGTTTCATATTTTAATTCTAGTTCTTACGTAAAAATTGCTCTTAGGTTCATAAACATATTATTTCCGACTTTTAGGCATTACTCAAACCTGTATTTTCGTCCGAAATTGTGTACATAGTTTTGTAATAGTGTTAAATATACTAATTATGACGTTTCGTACCGAAGCTATGTGACGTAGCGAGTGTTAAATATATATCAATATGCAACTCGAAACTATTTGCGTTTTAAATTGACATTATTTAAAAAAGATGTTAGGTATATAATTTTAGCAGTAAATGAAATTAACAGAATATTCTTCAAACATAATACCGTCACTATACGGTTCAGTTTATATCCGGAAATCTTGTTGTAATTAGTAAAATAAACTATAATAAAGTCTCCTTAAGATTATCTAACGACTAACTAAGAATAACCGGACATCCGTTAGAAGACAAAAATTTGTGTCACGTAGATGTAATTCACTCTAAAAGCTTTAGTTACATTTTGTGTACACTTTTATGAAGTCCTTTGATACTACCACATATTTGATTATTATCTATTTTTTAGATACTTATGCATACCTTATTTAAAAATGCCCTATATTAAGAACCTTTGATGATCAAGAAGTAAAAAAAAATATGTATTTTCAAAATGACATCCCGTTTCCCTTCGTGGGGATTGGGGCGAACATATTTCTGTGTCCGATTCACTGGATAGTTTTTATTTACAGGCAAGTAATTGATCAGACTTCTGTGACCTGCCCGACCGAAATAATTTACTATTTCTTCGCGATTCGAACCCAGGATCTCTCGCGCTTGTAATGACTTAAGATAAATATTACAAACAAAGACCCATAATTTCACAAATTAGGCTTCTCTGGCTTAGTAACCGGAATCACACACAATGTAAAAACAAAGTCCCACATTAACACAACAGCAAAAAACCTCAAAGCTCAAATTGTATCGGTATTGTTATTTGTCAACTAAGTAAAAGATGATGGGCACAAATATTAGTTGGCCGAGCTTGTGCGTTCCACACATAACTCATTGTCTTTACCTTTTTTGTTCAAATCGCTCAAAATAACGTAATGCGCGTACGACCATTATGTTGCTAAGTTACGCGACCACTGTTAGCTAAGTGTTTTTAAGCTAACCAATTCAGTAATACTTTGTAAAACATTTTTTGCAAATATAATTACACTTGAAATCTTTAATATTTTTTAGATATTGCATATAATATAAAAATCAAAAATAAATTGAAAAAAAAATTTTTTTTTTCGACTCGGGCAGGACTTGAACCGGCATCGTCAGCGTTCCGTGCTGTTGTTCTACCAATTGAGCTACCGAGAGCAACAGCACGGAACGCTGACGATGCCGGTTCAAGTCCTGCCCAAGTCGAAATTTTTTTCAAATTATTTTCGATTTTTAAATAATATAATTACACATAACCGAATTTCTGCCTTCTCCATCTCAAATAATAATAAATAAGCTTAAATACTTTTTTTAGTATCAGTTATTTAGGCCTTTGCGTGGTGAAATAGTTGAAATAAACGTACAGAATAAACGCACACGAATAATTAGTTTTTCAGTAATACTACACAATGGAAATGTCGATATTATAACTGAAATAAGGCACATATTTCAGCAAATATATTTGCTACGATGCTTGATGATGAAACCACAGAGTGACATTCAACAACTTACAAATAGAAAAAAACTAACTTAAACACCTAAGACATTTATTCAGCTTTAGACGCTAGCTACGTATTAAAACTATAGATAATAATTTTAACAAAAAACTTTTAAAGCTTTAATTAAAAAATTAACTAATACGCGACATGTATTAGTTAACTTTTTTACAAAATGTTTTAACTGCAGCCCAACGTTTGAAACGTTTGCATCAGCCGTTCGCACGCACACTCCCGTGCTGCATTAATTTAGCATCTGAAACTGTTTTATTTAAGATTACGCAGATTACAGACAATAATTTAAAAATACAACCACTGCTAACAGTGTGCAAGTTCCGTGTAATTTTTTTCTACAATGTAAATAGATTTTCAATCGCTTACTTTTATCTTATAGCTGTCAGTGGAAAGACGTCCCATCAGATTTAATGCTAGCTATTTATATTAGGCTGAGGATGACTTGCTCTTACAGAACTCTCGGTTAAAAAGTAAAAAGCACAGCTATTTACTGGAGCATTCCGAAATTATGCTGAACGACCTTTTTAGAAAGCTATCGAGTATTTTACACTTTTATTGCGTTCGGAAGATTTTGATAGAAAATCGATTATCATCAGTATCATTTGAATATGAAAAAGGAGTTAAGAATTGACTGTGAAAGAAGTGTATAGATTATAAAGTTTAGTGAATTTGTAGTATGTATAGATTTTCTTTACAACTAATCTTGCAGTCTATTTTTTTATGACCGAGTTTTTTTTAACATATGGTGGTGAAACTAAATTTTTAAAGATTTAGATGCCTAAAAAATTTATAACCGCAGTTTTGATCCACAAATTAATTTTTAAATATAGATAAAAAATCAAATTTGTGTAAAATGTGTACACTCCACTCATTAAGACACTCGTGCTTAACTAAAACATTACACAATAAATGTTTATATATCTTTTTTTTGTTCACAATTGTAATGCGTAAATAGAAACACACCTCAAAGCCTTACAAAACAGCCTTCAAAGCATCAGTCAGAATCGAAGTCGACTACACGCACAAAATATTGCGTAGATACTTTAATGGGTAATGTTAGGGTTGTCATATTCGGAACTATTACTAATAGGCTTAAGCAATATCTTTTAAATAACTTTTAACTGTTTAAAAGGCGAAAAATATGATTTTTGAATTTAATTTAAGTACGGTCTAACGTTTTTGGTTGCTTTGTAGCAGCCGTGGTCACGGGGGGACTGCAAACGATGGTTTAAGTATATGTGTCCTTGACGGCCTCTTTGGTCTAATAGTAGCAACGTATTTCTAATAATCAACAGGCAGCTTCGATTTCCACCTAGTCCAGTATGTTTGACTTTGAATATGTTTGAATTGTTATCGATATTCCGTCCGGATAACAAACGACCGCCAACAGATGTAAAAGTGAAGTTTAATCGTATTTCTGTTTCAGTCTGTGTATTTTTCTAAGACCTAAGGCTCAAATACGCAGCACGTCTTGTTGAGATGTTATATAGGAATATGAAATTCCATTTTCATTAAGTGAACTCCATGCTAGGTAACAAACAAAAAAAGGTTGG